ATGTGAGTTGTTTTTCAACTTATTTGTCTCTAGTACTTTTTCTGCTGATGAAGTTCTCTTTTTATGCTCATGCATGATTTAATAAACAGGCAAGTTAGCTCTTGGAACGTAGTGATAAGTAAAATCTATGATAAATGTGGGAAAGTGAGATGGCCTATGGTTTTCGTTTTTGAAAATAATCTTGGTGACTAATCAACCCCGCTTAGTGGGTGTGTTGTCACCGGATCTTATAAAAAATTTAGAGCTAAAGTGTTCTCGGGTTGGAACAGTACTTGCGGTGACTATGTTGTGGAGGACCCAACTGTGTATACGTACAAACTTGTTACTGGTTCTGGTGTTTTCCAATGACAGCATTTTTCATGCCCTTTATACCGGACGAAATGGAAGACTAGTTGTGAAAGACGACTTAACCCTGTACATTATATGATGAAGAGATACTGGATTGACATTTTGGCAAATTTCAAGAACCACTCGACCTATAGAAAAGGCCGTCAAATATTTGATCATGTGAATAATTAAAATAATAATTTCATGTTATATTTTTCAATGTATAATATCGAAGAAAATGCGTAACAAAAGAAAGGCACTGTAATCACGACTGTCGTCGATAAACAAATTGAAACGTTTAGAGCCGTCACTGTACTTGCAGGTGATCTCTGACCAGTTTAGAAAGTATCGACGCGTTCTCTGTTATACACGTAATATCTTGCATTTTGCCATTTTGGTATTTCATGTTTGGAAAACTCCTAATGAAAAGGAAGTAATTATCGCACTTTTTGCAATGCCTACGTCGTCACCATATCTCAGTTTAATATCGAAAGCCGTAAATCACAGTGGTAATATTTGAATATTGCACCCAACGCCTAGGTTCTCGCGTCTTTTGGTTAAAAAGAAAACGATGAGTTCTTTGGTGTTACAGATTATTCAGGCTCACTACCGGTGGAATCCCTCGCCCTGTCTCTTCAGAGGCCGTCATTGGAAACTGGCTCTCTATTTTGGGAAGTATTATTCTCGTAGGTGCGTCTCAATAATAGTCTTCTTCACTTGTGCAGTAAGATGACTACATTAGTTGTGCTTGTTTCAACTTGAAAAATAAGTCTTGGCTTCGCTCCCTTTTTATCTGGGATGTTAGATTGGCGATCTCACGCTCCATGATTTTTCTTAGGGCCCTTGATTGCATTTTTATGTACAGTCGAAAAGTTTTATCTTTGCGTTTTGAATTGCATTGCATATCCAAGGCTGACAAAATGAACTGCTGTTTCTGTGCGAATCGCCAAGATGGCGGCAAATACGTTCAATATTGACGCTTTTGGATGTAGCCAACTAATCCCATCAATATTGTAGCTTTTATTAATCCAGAACTGTCATTCGGTCATGTGCAATTGCTTGCCAATCTTCTCTGAATGCCTTCTGAAATGTCCTTTCACAAGTAATTTGACTCTACATTGGACTGGCCACTATGTGATGTAGAACAACAGCAAGAGTAGCCCAAACCTAATGGTTCAGCCACTTTGGAAACGTAAAAGTGAACTAGAAAGACGAGAAGACCCGAGAAATAGCCCAAATAAATTCGGTCCAAAAACTATGTGAATAACGCGTCAGAGTCAGCTTTCAGCAATTATCTTAAGTCATAGCTATATTCAATTTACTTCCTAAAAGAAATATGTGAATAACATGTGAGAGTCTTGGTCTTTAGTAATTTTCTTGTTCTAAAGGTGTTTGGAATTATGCCCAGGATAAAGTGCATGAATAATATATAGGAGTCTCAATTTTAGTAACTTTCTGTTTTGAAGGCATTTTGAACTTGTTTCGTAAATTGACCTTACTTTTGGGGGCGTCCTAGCTGATTTATGGCCTGTATAAATGCCACCACTAACTTAAATAATTTCAGTTAATGTGAGTTTTTCCCTCTGAGGTTCTACTCTCTCTACTTACTAATTCAAGTGCCTTGTTTGTGAACTGAAGAGAATTTTGATTCTTGTGGTCTCAATGGTCGCCCCCACAAGTTCTTGATGATTCCAGGATAAAAGTTCCAACGTTTCGTGGATTCCGAATCTGATTTCTTAGTTTAAAATCCTCACCATGTGGATTTAAGGTCGAATCTTCTATTCCCTGCACCTAACACTGGTAATCCTAGTGTTTAGGTTTCTCAAAACTTGCATGCCAGTAATTTTCCAAGCAACCTTATTAACTAGTCTTCCCGGTAATAATGTGCAATCTTCTACATCCCTGCATGAAACATGTAATTCTTGGAGAGGGAGAGTCTTAGTCTGCGTTCATTCCCTCCAGTGCCACATAAGTCCAGCGTGGTCTTTTTCGCCATTTCTTCATCCACAAGATCACTTATTCTTTGGTGGACATCATATATCTTCTGTTCATTCTTCTGGGACAATACTGACCCATCATATTCAAGCCTCTTTCCCCAACATCGCACAACAGAGGTAAACCCATGGTTATAGTCATATTCACGTTAAAACATTTAACGTAGTGAAGTCGTTGAACAAATGAGTTTCGAGTTGGGCAACCGGCAAAATATTCAGCACAGATATTTAGGCGACCGTCAGCATACATAACTTACGAACCAATGGCGTATGAATGGCAACCTAGGGACGTTACAATCCCTACTGCCAAAATCCTAATCTCGTCGTAAACGTCTGACTCTATTCTCTAACCTGTCCGTCGACGGGACGTTTGTTCCTAAGGCACTTGGCAAGAAAAGTTGACGGGATATCTCAAGATCTTCCAGGAATGAGACACGGTCACAGGGTCACGAAAGCCTTTATCTCGGAAATATGAGCCTTTTGTAGTCCCTTAGATCGAAATCTCATTGTGTCTATAGCAAAACTAAAAATTCATTCGACATATCGGTAATACCCGGACGCTTATTTTCATTTTCCACGCAAACTGTCAAACAAAGTCAGGCCACATAAAAGTTTCGTTCGACCCGACGTCAGGTTTTCTCTCTGCGACTAGATAGCTTCCTCCGGACAGGATAATAGATCCTGATGCGATATGGTCTCAAAGTTGACAAAGTCTCCGTCTCCCTACGGTTGGAAAGTAGCCTTAATTTGTCGGTTTACAACATGAAAAAGACCAAGATGCAAGCAAATCATTATGACATCCAGGAGGCCCCACAAATCTGTATCCGTGCAGTTCCGTTAATGGACAAATCTTGCTGGTTCATAGTCAAAGCCAATCTTCTAATCCCAGTGCGGACAAAGTAAATTTACTTTTATGCGCTTTGAAGCCGTCCTAATGCCGGACATTAAACTCTCCACAGCTTTCACATCTCGTCGACGAACTCGGTTGTGAGTAGTTGACAGTAGATGTTGACCCACAACGCCAATCTGACCTTACATCAATCCGTCCCAAAACCCGATTCCTGGATAGATATTACTCTTGCGAAATCTCAAGCAGCGTGCCCTGCGCCTTACGCACGGCAGGAAAACTGGTTTCAGCGTAAGCAGGGAGACGCAGCGTAAGCAGCATGCCCTGCCCTTACTGCTCTTCACGGAGGTAGATACCTCATCGAGGCATATTCTTGTAAAAATATTGAATGCGGCAATGCCATGGTAGGATCAATTTCTTGTTGATAACCAGCGAAAGATTCGATACTGATAATTGGCTCCCTTGGTACTTTACCACAGATAACGTTCAAAATGAATGGCGCATTGGCTTAAATCTTGAGTTCTGAACACCACTGTTGCTAACTTCGCATCCATCCATCACTGTGAACTTCACGACGAGCTCTTAACCACTTTAACACTAGTGCTCCACAATGTTGATATACGCCTTTCAAACCAACATGATTCAAAAGAGGGTCAACGCATGCTCCACAATGCCTAACACATAATACATAATTTTAGAAAAACGACATTATTTGTCTGAAAACAATGAACTTATGGCAACTTTCTTGATGGTAAGATACTTTGGAAATCGAGAAGATCCTGTTCCACAATTAAGAATTTATATCTTCATAGTAATATAAAGAATAAGCTTTGGCTTTCACAGAGATCTCCATGGGTCGACTCTGTCTGTCTATTCCTTATTTATTCCGGCGTATCCTTGTTTATGGATAGAGTATATAAATTCCAATCTCGATTAAGGTTAAACAGGTTAAGAAAATGCAGCTGTTAAGTCGTCGTAGTATGCGGAGTTGGAAGAGGCGGACCTAGGGTGTAACGAAGTGTTCGAACCAGAAATGGGCAGCGCATGTATTGCTTTTCCTCCAACCAGAAATTGCTACTAATTAGCATATGGCAGCTAAGTTGACTAAACCTCCATCCCCATCCTCTATGCGGCCTTATTCTTATTGCGATGTCGCCATAATCTGTCGACTTACAGCCCTTTAAAGCGTCTGCAGTAGCAGAGAAATCGCCCCGGTTCAGGGTGCCGAGGAATGAATAGGCCAGTTATTCCGACTTTTAAAGCCGCAACCTCACGCCAGAAGTTGAAAATCTTCCAAATCTTAACACCTCATTAATGAAATAGGACGTTCGAGCTGGTCAACAGATGTAGACCTGGGACACAAAATTGACCAGTTAAATTCCGTGTGAAATTAGACTTTTTGCCACACCGCAATCTCAGCTAAAAGTCCGTGCATTGTACCAGTGTTGAGCACTAAATAATGCTTAGCTAAATGAATATCAGGTCAACTTTCATCCGCTAATTTTAAACACTTCATTGTTAATTTCCGCAGGCAGTCTTAATTGCTGATCCGAGATAAGCTGCCGATGAGACCTATACTAATTAATTGTAGTGGTATTCGGTTGCAAGTCTCAATCCCATTAACAGTACACGGTGAATACAACGGCTGGCCATCCGGTACAATGCTCTTTCGTACGACCATCCCCAGTGGGATTCAGGTCAAACCAAGTGTTTTATTCCAGGTTCAACCTTCGCAAAGGCTTCCTTCAGCAGCACGCAATCAAGGCTTCCTTCCCCTCTCTATAAAAGCCTAGTCCAACACTGCTTCTGAATCACCCAACATCAAGCTCGTCATGGCTGCAAAGACGACAGCCACGACAGCAGTTTTCTCTCTTGTGAACCTTCTATTCGTCACCACGGTTTTTTCCCAAATCGTAATAACAGAACCTCAGCCCCCCCAGGTATCACCTCCGTCCGCCCCCCCAGTGGTTCCTCCGTCCGCTCCCCCAGTGGTTCCTCCGTCCAGTCCACCAGTCGTACCTCCGTCCGCTCCCCCGGTGGTTCCTCCGTCCAGTCCACCAGTCGTACCTCCGTCTACTCCCCCAGTGGTTCCTCCGTCTACTCCCCCAGTGGTTCCTCCGTCTACTCCCCCTGTGGTTCCTCCCTCTACTCCCCCCGTGGTTCCCCCGTCCACTCCCCCAGTCATTCCTCCATCCCCGCCCCCAATTGTTCCTCCGTCCCCACCTCCATCCTCCCCGCCACCACCACCACCGCCCCCACCGCCGCCGCCACCTCGTCCCATCGTAGGTCTGAGATGCCTTATCGATGCCATCGGGTTAAGAATCTGTGCTCCGGTGCTCTCCGCTCTCCGGGTAAGCGGTAGGCGTCCCCCCAGAGGAGCTTGCTGCAACCTCATCGCTAGACTCTCCAACCAACAGGCCCCAGTGTGCCTCTGCCTCGCCGCCAGGAACAGGTTCCTCGGCCTTAATCTGCGGATTCCCGAGGACGTCGCGTTGCTGCTGAACTTCTGCGGGAGGCCGGTGCCTGCTGGGTTGTCGTGCGCTTAAAACTTTACTCCTGAGAAGGTGGTCTATCTTGTAATTGGTACCCATAGGAATTATCTCCCGTCCTTGACGTTGCTGTGATCCCTGTGGTTTGTACTCCTACGATATTATATTTCCGAACTTCCAGAGTAAACAATTTTTCATCAGTGCTGACAATGATGAGAGTATTGTTTCTTTAGAGATATCCTTATAAAATTAAACCGCGGAAGATCTTTCCTTTCCTGCTGTGCAAATAAGGTCTCAGTGTGATTCGGTAATAATTCACATGTTGGACAAGACATACCATCCTACATCTAATGAACCAGGTAATCATAATACTAAATACAACACCATAGTGTTCTATTTATCTTGGACAAGAATGTCTACACTTCTCCACTGAGACCTATGAATGACTTTGATTGTATTATTTTGTGTTTTGATGACTGAGATCCCCTTGTGAAACACAAATGTTAACTGAAAAGATCTAATTTTCCCGAGTTAAACTGCTGGGCATACTAGTCCAGAATGGTAACAACTTTTACTTGACATGCAGATATATGATCATATAGAAAAATGTTTGCAATGAGGTCATTTACTCATCTTTAACGGCATAATGTAATCCACGACAACAGACGAGATGCTGCTTAACTTCATCACCGTTAGTATAGGTAGTACAGTGAATTCCTTCTTGGACGGTAAATGTGATGATTTACGTGTTTTGATGATAACCATAAGTGATGAAGGATATTTTAGGTATTTTCCTTAGAATGAAAAATGTATACATGAGATCTTAAGTATTTCTAATAGAATATAATTGAATGAGGTCATTTGTGTGTTTACATTTGTTTACTACTTACAAGATAATCGTGTGGAATATTCTTGTAATTTATGTATATTTATTTCTCGTTAAACGAAGAGAATTTTTTAATTACTGGGCATGAATTTAAGGAGTATTAAATCAAACTAATGGGGTTCGATCTGTTATTTAAATGAAATTTAAGTTGAATTTGCTAACATTATTGGATCTGAACAAAATTCGAAACACTGGTCCGTGACAATGCATGAATCTAAAGTTCACAGATGGTCGGCCATATGGGCAAACGAATTTGTCTGCTGTACCGCCTTGGATCCGAAAGATAAATAGAGCATTGGCCGTCCGTTTCATATACGGTCCTTTCTCTGCCCCGTACAGGCGAAAATATAAATACCAGCATCTCGGTCTAAAATGCTAATCCTGATGGTTTTTATTGAGCGATCGCTGATCGTGAAAAAAGGGGGAAATGAAGAAAAGCGGGAGTAAGAAAAAGTTAACACAAGAAATTGGTGCGGACTTTCAAGCATAGAAGAAAGCTCAATGCCCTATCTCCTGCACTCTGCAGCATCAAGAGACTATTGGCCTCCGGCTTCTGATCAGACTCCTAGAATGAAACTAGTCGAGCATGTATCGAATCGTCAAGACATCTCCATTCAGTTCGAGTCTGGATAAAATGACCATGCTCGACTTCGTCTTCGGATCAAGATCAAGCATCCATCAAAGCGAACGATATTTCATCTTCATTGTCCCGGCCTCAAATCAATCGTCATCTTTCCATCTCTAGGTCGACCCATCATGAAACTGAGTGTTATTTTTTCTTCACCTACAACATACCTCAAATTGATTTTCTTGTATCCATCTCAAAATCAAGGCCTAATTAAAGAGCACTAGAATGTCCTCCTCAGATCAACCAATATCAAATTGATCAAATTTGTCATCAAAAGCTCAAGCTAGCATCAACTTGATCAATGCTTCCATTTAACTAATCCAAACAAGGAGAAGATCGAGCATGCGAAGAATCATCAAGAATTGGTCAATTTTCTCCCTCAGATTTATATTCAATTTGGAGAAATCTGGTTAGTTTAGAGCCTGAAGTCTAAGCAGAGAGAAGTGGGAAGTACTATTTCTCTGTTTTGGACAAACTAGAGCCCTATAATTTGAAGAAACTTTGAGGGATCTCAAGTAAACTAGAGCTGTGAAATCCAAAACAAATTCCTTTGAGGTATGATCTTTCTTTTGGATTTTTCTTGGGATATAATTGTATAAAGATTCAATATAGGCAATAAAAAAGCTATAGGTAATTCTCCCCCCGCCCCCCCCGCCCCCCCCCCCGCCCTTCTATGTATCATACCGCCACATAGAGGCCAATAGAGAAAGGCTCAAATTGGCTTTTTATATGTCAACCATTAGGCCAAATTATGTTATGCTTTATCAGTTTATTAACGGCTTCATTCATTTTAATAACTGTCATTTTTTAGTACACATCTAATAAGATTTATCATTTTAGAGATATCCAAGTTCGGTTTCCTCCAGACTCTACTTCCACTCTGCACATGCGCATCTCAATTTTTGACCGGTGTGCTTTACTAGTTGTGTATACCCTAATCAAAGCTAGAATTTTAATATCTCGCCTTAAGGAAAGAATGACCCTCCAAAAAAGGAAAATTAGCACATCTGTGTGTGTAGTGTCCTGGGAGCATTGACGTCAAGTCCCTTGTAGGGCTCAGGTGCGCTGGCCGCCTGCATTCCCCTCGTGCTTTTTGTAGAGCTCAGCCTCTATTTATGTATCTCTCTCTGAAGTGATGCCGAATTCACATACCAGCATGGAAAAATCGTGGAATAATGTTTACATTACCAAGTTACCAATTGGTCATGTTACTTTCCCAGTTTGATCGTTCTTGTATTTTTTCTAAGTTTGATTCGAGGCATCAGTTAGGTTTATAGTCCTGCAGGATCCCGTACAATGTCACTTTGTTGCCTCGTAACTCACATAATATAAACTCCCTAATAATATGCACTTAACTCTCTAATAAGTAGTACTACTCATAGATCAGATGTGGATAGTCTTATCCATCATATATTTCGCTCTAAATTTAAGTGAACAGAGATGTATATATGATTAAAAACAATTCTTGAGTGTTTTCTTTAAAAAACAAGCTACCCGACCAGCATTTTGCATTATTCACTATCTAAATGTTGCTTTGATTATATTCCTTCCCAAGGAGGCTTGGCTAGTAATCATGTGATTCAGACAAGAACATATTTGTACGCCAGAGCAACACTGAGGCATTGGTCAATGCTTAATGTTGTTAGCATTATTTTCTCCTACCTAAATCTGCCTATTTCCCAACCTATATCTAAAGGTTCTCAGTGCTGAAGCTCCCATAATCATCTACTCTACGTTGGTCCAGAGTATGATAGGTGGTGATGAGCCGAGCAGCTTAATCGAGGATCTTATTAATCATTGTCTTAACAAGCCCAATATCGATAAGTTTTTTAAATTGTCAGACTAGTCAGGCCATTCCTTATTTATAGAAACATAAGTGCTCATATCCGTTCCTCCCTCTCATCCTCTATTTAAAGTGGAGTGGCGTGTGTCATTCCATTTTTTTCTTTTTGCATTCTCTTTCGCATTTGGCTTATTGAGAAGTTGGGAGTTAGATCTTCGTATATTTAGAGTGGATGCGCCTCATTTAGGATTAGAAGGTATGTCCAGAGCACATCATAGAGACCAGGAAGACGAGATAAACAGATCCAACCGTCTTGTAAGGTTCTCTTTTTGTATTCTGTAAAAAGTTCTCTTCAGCTCTATCCATGGACGGTGAAGGATTTATTCAAGTCACTTAAACTGCGCTCTATCATCTTCTCTAAATTTATGTCTGTATTATGTCTTAGCCGTATATTTCTTCATGGTCCTTTTGGTACATTCATACTTGGTGATTATTACGTACTCTGCTTCTATCAGAACATGAATGCATCTTGAATAGGGTCAACATGGGTCTCAGCATGAACAAATCTGAAGGCTTATTCGTGAGGCATCGTCATCGCTGCCTCAACAAATTGCGATTGGATTTGAAGGTATAATAGATTTGGGAACTTGAGCCTAGGGATGGGAAAAAGAGGATCTGCACGGACAAGAAAAATATGGACATAACAAAGCCATGTCAACGTTGACAATTATTGATAGTCTAAGAACTCTGTCCTCTCTTATCTGGGGTTCTAACGTTTGGCTTTCCGAAAGAAAGTGTAAAATTACAGATTACGCATAAGATTATCATAAGGATCATGAAACTAAAATAGTAGATAATCTAATTTTTTTCAACTTTCAATTTAGCAAATGGTAGCAATTAGAAAGAATGGCAAGTTTATGTAATTTTGCGGCTCCCATATATAAGATGCAACTAAAGACATCTAACAGATTCAGTCAAACGCAACGCAGAAAGTTACCACTATCTTTATTTCAACATTCCGCCTTCGTGAATGTTGAACTTGCAATTCAATTAAACACTTGGTTTGGCACGATCGTTACATGAGATGGTCGTATGGAAGAGCGTTGTATCTACTGGCCTGTAGTTGCCATATTTATTCGGCGTGCGCTGTTAGTAGGATTATGACTTGCAACCGAACCGAACAGAGGGCCCCCCCACTACAATCAGCATTGGTTTCATCGTAAGCTTATGCGGGGTCAACAATTAAGACCATCAGAGAGACTTTGTCATGAAGTTCAGAAAATTAACGGGCTAAGGTTGGCCTTAACCAGTAGTTTGGGAATCAACGATGGAATAATTGAGCCATTCGGCGGGGCGATGTTTGGTGTCCAACACTCCTACATCGTACGGACATTCGCTTGACACACTGCGGTTGGCGAAGAAGACTAATTTAAGGCGAACGTTAAATGCTCAATTTGATGTGCCGGGCCTACATCTATTTTCCAGCAAGAACGTCCTCTTTCATTGACGAGGTACTGAGATTTGACAGATTTTCAACGTCTGGCGTGTGTTTGCCGCTTAAACGGCTGAAAAGCCCGCCTATTAATTCTTCGGCACTCCGAACTTGAACGATATGTGCTGATGGAGACGCTTAGTTATAGACTTGTGGGGCCAACATGATACGCATGATTTCGTTCTGCCGTCATGCGTTCAAAGCTGTAAGTTCATAAATTAAGGCTATCGCAATAAGTATAGGGCAACATAGAGGATGGGGATGGAGA